AATATTTTATTCTAGTTGTGTGACTAACAATGACCAATTTATCTGTGACAAGAGTCTTCCTCACTGAACAGACTGTCACCACTTCCCCTAAATGCAGGGTGGTTCTAAGTCTTTTAGAGACATTCCTCCTTGGTGTCTGGGTGTGACTTCACAATCTAGCCAAATAAGTTTTAGAGAGTCCAGTAAATTCTTTGGTGAACAATGCTGATTTCATTTTTTTTGCTTCAGTCACAATCATCTTATTGTTGAGGCTCTTGGTCAACTTAAGGAAAAACTGACAGAATTTATTCAAAATGTTTATGCAACGGAGCCTAGTTCTATGGTAACAGAAAGTAAACCACTTAAAGAACAAATTTTTTAGTGGAAGAATCATGATAAGTATGTGACTAAGAAAGGACTCTATTTAAATTATACCTCGTATTTCGCCAATTACTTGGGGAAAAAAATACCTAAAGTATTTTTGAACCAGCTTGTTAATGCTGAAAATTTTTAATTGCTTGTAGGTATAATATTTTGTGAAGCTTACATTTTCTTTTATATTCTCAACACAGTAGAATGCTGTAGGAACTGAAGTTACAGTCAACAAAGTCATCACCAAGTTTCACTTCTCGATCTATAATTTTTATAGAGAATATATTAAATGTCTAATCACTTTAAACAGAATGATAGAAAAGGGTATAAAAATTTTAGACATGATTAAGAGTTTAACAAATAATTGGAAAGACAAGACTAACATACACAACACAATTACGCAGTGATAAACAGCAACCTCACCTAGGAAGACCAGGTGCTGTAGGCGTAAAAAATAAAAAATAAGAAGTTGTAAGCTGACAAGGTCCTTGCAATCTATGAGGCCAACCAAGGGTTGCCTCGCCTAAAATAGATAAATAGATAAATAGATAAATAGATAGATAGATAGATAGATAGATAGATAGATAGATAGATAGATAGATAGATGAATAAATAAATGAATGAAATCAAAGATAAACAGCAACCTATAATCTAGTGCTAGATTGTATAGTAGCCAGAGTTAGTGAGGATGTTAAAACATTGTTTCTGAGGAGGTAAAATGGTAAAATCTTTTTTGTTTCTTTTAGGAAATTGAGAATATCTATTAAATATTCTATCATAATTTTTCTTTTCCAAAATGCGGATATAAAAGCTGGTTGCAAGTTTTACAACCAGGTCTACCTTTTGTTTTTAATTTTTTTCATGAAAAATTTTAAACATATACAAAAACAGGAAAATGCATCTTCATATACACATCACCAACCCATACTAATAGCTTTATTTTCTTGGAATGCTCTTCCTCTAGAGATATTCACAAGGCTCACTTCCTCATATCTCTCAGAATTTAACTCAAACACATGGAAGGGCTTAATAAATAGTCAGTGAATTAATAAATCTCTTGATAAGGAGAGACGTCCATGATATATTACATTTAAAAAAATAGAAAAATTGCAACACAGTTTGGAAAATATACCACTCCGGGTGGAAAAAGTGGTAGTTGTGACAGAGGTAGACACACCCACCAAATCTTCTGCACTCCACACTCCACATTTCCCAGTTTATTGCCAGTTGGGGAGGGATATGGTTACTTGCTATGGCCAATACACTGTAATTGAAAGTGGAGTATATCAATTATGGGCCGAGGCAGTAAAACACTCCACGTGTAATTTTACAGTCTCTTTTCACTGCTGTGATGATTAAGGGGTCACATACTGCAGTTATGACCACAACGAGGTGGGATCTCCAGTACCCTGGGTCCCTGAGTGACTGCATGGAGAAACTGCCCTGCCAATCTGCGTCAAACGTACAGCATTAGCAAGAAATAAAGTTTTGTTGTGTTAAGTCACTGAGATTTTGTTGTTTGTTACTGCAACATAATCTGGCCTATCCTGACTACTACATATACGAAAGCTAGCATTTATTAAGCACTTACTGTATGCTACAAACTATGCTGAATGCTATATATATTCCTATTAAAACCTCGCGAAGTCCTGAAAGCCCTTACTATTACACTGAGATGAGAAAACTGAGGCACTGTGAGGACAAAGAACTTGTCCAAGGCTGCCATCTAAATGGAAAAGCTGGAAATGGAACCTAGGCAGTCTGAAGTAAGATCAACCAAGCTATTAACAGGAGTTATCCCTAAGGGCAGGATTATGGGGATTGATCACTCTTTGTTCTATATTTCTGTAATGTTACAAATTTTTAAATAATCATTCATTACCTTGGCAGTAAGTAATAAACAAATAGGTAAAATATATGTTAGCTGCTTAGGGACTATGAATTCAGAGATAGAAGTCAAGTGGTCACTGGAGCTTGGTGCAATTACGGAATGTCGAAAAATGACTCTCTACCATCTATAGGGATACCTGGTTTTATAGGTGAATTCCAGCAGATGTGGTGAATCATATTATATTTCACAATAACACTAGATTAGTTTCCTGAAGGGAAAATACGCCTATATATTTTAACTTCTGGCAAGAAAGGAGTTAACAAAATGGCCATGCCCATAGCAGGATGAATGTTGTAGTTCTGGGGATGTTGTATAGGTTTTCCAGTACTTAACGGCTTTCCTCAAAAGCAAAGCAATAATAAAGTTCCTTATAAATAAAATGACTTTATTAAATGTATTTTAAAGTGTTGTATTCATATTTAAATAAAATATACATGGCATAATATATAATCACCAAGTATACCTGTAGTTCTTCTGGCTGTGCAGAATCTGAATTCCTATTTTGAGAATTTAACAATGTATAACTCTTAACAGGAGGAAATTGAAAGGCCAAAATACTGGTTGTCTCAGATTCTGGGCAACCATATAGGATGCTTGTCATCTGAGTACAGAGCTGTGATGATAAGTATTCTCGGGTGGCAATCTAATGAAAATATTCCCATAGCATGACCCTGGCTGTGTTCTTGACTGCCTAGACTCTCTTGGTCTCCATCATTTTGTGAGCCTGGCTCTGCAGCCTTCGCGTTGATTCTGTAAACTAACGATCATTCCAGAGTTGGTTTCTTTCACTTGGAAGTAAGAAACTGACTATAAAGCAGTAACTATTGGCAGATATATAATTTGAAGGCACAGTGTCTAGGAGAAAATGAGCCACCTTTGAAGGACTAAACAATAAGACCTACGTCCATAATACGATAATAAATACCACAAAAGGACTTTGTCTAGATTAGAGATATTTTCCCTCCACTACATTTCTCCAAAGTGTGATCTTTTGCTTTCCAGGAATTCCTGTCATATCTGAGTATTTCCTAACTTCACACATAAATCTCTCTATGCTTAACTCACATCTTTCATTTACAATACCACATTTTCAAAAAAGGTGTCATTATATAACATGATCTACTCAACAGTAGAAATGCTTTAAATTTGTGGCCCTAATGTTAGAGAAAACAAATTATTGAACTGTTTTATTATCTTAATTTCAAAAGTCTGTAAAACAAACTATAGCCTTACCTATAAGAAAATTAAAATTACCTGAAAAATTAAAATTTGCCTTATGGAAATGATAATACCCACCTTATTTCACAATATTCATATGAGGATCAAATAATTTATGAACATGTTTAGAGAATTACTGCAAATCTTAAGACATATTGTAAGACGCACCATTAGTTTCTCAGTTTCTAAGAAAGAAATGATGCGACCAACTAAAAATGATAACACATGCTCCCTTATCACTTAGAACTTTTATTTAGTACCTAGTAAAAGAGCCCTTTATACTTTAGTAGACATGGATTGTTATACCTAATTGTTATATACTAAGTGGAAAGTATGAGTGAAATAAATTGGTTAAGGTATTCTTAAAACTTCTCATTGAGTCCAACATTCCTGATTCATTTCTCAACTCAATCACTGACATCCACGTATTACCACATAATACCATTATCTGTGCCATCAAAAATGTTGGTGACATAGCATTTATTATAAGAATCCATAAAATGTTTTCCTGGTTAAAAATGGCAATGTAGGAGGCTCTTGAACTCACCTCCTGCAACAGACACACCAAATCTATAGCTACATAAGGAACAATTCCCTCTGACTGAAATCCAGAAGCTACCTGAGAGATTCCTACACAGTGGCGAATGAGAAAAACCCACATCGAAATGAGTAGGAGAGGCTAAGACACAATCTCATCATAAAGTCCACTGACACATGACTGGGAGAGAACTCACAGTTCCCAGCTTCTCCCTGAGGAGCAAAGGGTATGGACCTCATGGCTGGCATCACAACCTTTAAGACTTCCATCTGAGAGACAGGCCCCCAAAACATTTAGCTTTGAAAGCCAACAGAGCTTGCATCTATGAGATCCACAAGGCTATAGTGAAATAAAAGACAGTTCTTAAAGGGCTCACGGGAATTCACTACGGCTAACCCTCGCAAGGCCCAGTGCATAGGTAGCAGAATGAAAGGCATCCAGTCTGTCTGTGAGAGGCTATTTGCTTACCTTAAATGCTTCAGCTTGAGGAGACTGTTTAGATGTCTGGCATAATGATTTTTGCATCTGCCACCCAGAGAATGCACTTTGACTGCCTGGCTCTGCTCAACAGGGGTTATTTTGCAGGTCCCACAGGTCTGTAACAAATAATAGAGAAATAATTCTCATTTCTTAAATTTAAATTTTAATTTTTCAGTTAGAGTTGATATTCAACATTATTTTATATTAGTTTCAGGTGTACAGCATAGTGGTTAGACATTTATGTAATTTACAAAGTGATCCCCTGATAAATCTAGTACCCATCTGACACCATACGTAGTTATTCCAATATTATTGACTATACTCCCTATGCTCTACTTTACATCCCTGTCATTATTTTGAAACTACCAATTTGAACTTCTTAATCCCTTCACCTTTTTCACCCAGCTGCCAAACTGGCAATCACCATTTTGTTCTCTGTATCTATGAGTCTGTTTTCATTTTGTTTGTTCATTTATTTTCTTCCTTACATTCCACATATAAGTGAAATCATATAGTATTTGTCTTTCTCTATCTGACTTGTTTCACTTAGCATAAAACCCTCTAGGTCCATCAATGTTGCTGCAAATGGTAGGATTTCATTTTTTTATGGCTGAGTAATATTCCATTGTATATATGTACCAGAACTTCTTTATTCAGTTGTCTACTGATAGGCACTTAGGTTGCTTCCATATATTGGCTATTGTAAATAGCGCTACAATGAACACAGTGGTGTATATATCTTGAGAAATAATTCTTAAACATCTATCCCTCCAGGGCACAGCACAGAGACAGTAGACTGAAACATCCAGTCTTTCTGTGAAAGGGGCTATTAGTTTATCTGAATAACTGCGGCCCGAGGGGCAGGCTAATTTAATACATCTAGAAACCTACTTCGATCCTCTCCAGAGACTGCTCTAAAGACTGGGTAGGCTGGGAGGCATCATCTTTGCGCTCTATCCAGCTGCAAATCACCGGTGTCTCCAAGAAAGAAGCCTGTGGACAACAGCAAAAGAAGAAATGGTTCTTAACTGGCTACCCGCACCCAGGGCTTAGTACAGAGGGAGCAGACAGAAATGCCCACCTCAAAGTCTTCCTCTGAAAGAGGTATATTTGCATACTTTAAAAGATGCTACCTGAGGCTTTGACTTCCAATCAACCTGTATCTAGGTGCTGACTGAAATCTTCCTCTTCAGGACACTGACAGGTCTTGGTATACCCTCAACTACTGGGAGCAACTAAGAACAAAGACGGCTGCTAGGACAATCACAAAGGTTTGAGAGACAACTAAAAACTAGGGGAGAGTTGAACTGTAAGTTTCATCTTCTACCCGAGACTATTCCTTCAAGACTGAGAGAGGTGGCTATTTTATCTAATAATAGATACCAATACAGAGAATCAATGAAAATGAAGAAGCAAAGGAATATGTCCAAATGAAAGGACAAGATAAAACCTCAGAAAAAGAACTTAATAAAACAAATAAGTATTTACCTGATAAATGGTTTAAAAGGATGGTCATAAAAATGCTCACTGAGGTCAGGAGAACAATTCATGAGCAAAGTGAGAATTTCAACAAAGAGAAAGAAAATATAAGTACCAAAAATAAATCACAGCTAAAGAATTCAATAACAACTTAAAAATTTAGAAAGAGGGCTCAACATTATACCAGATAAAGCAGAAGAGAGGGCAGTGGAATTCATCCAATCAGAGGAGCAAAAAGAAAAAAGAATCAAAAAGAGTGAAGCTAGCTTATGGGACTTATAGGACAACATCAAGCACACTGACGTTCATATAGTAGGAATCCTATAAGAATAAGAACGAGAGAAAGAGGGCATAAAATTTATTTAAAGAAATAATGGCTGAAAATTTCCCTAATCTAGGAAAGAAACAGACATTCAAATCTAGGAATCCCAGAAAGTTCCAAATAAGATGAACCCAAAGAGACTTACATCAAGACACACCATAATTAAATTATCGGAAGCTAAAGACAAGGAGAGAATCTTAAAAGTAGCAAGAGGAAAAACAACTTGTTATATACAAACGAACTGCTCCATAAGACTAACAGCAGATTTTTCAGCAAAAACTTTGCAGGCCAGAGGGAGTGGCATATTATAGTCAAGGTGCTAAAAGGGGGGCGGGGGAGGGGAGGGCGGGGAAGGAGAACCTTGCCAACCAAGAGTACTCTACCCAGCAAAGTTGTCCTGAATTGAAGGAGAGAGAGTTTTCCAGACAAGCAAAAGATGAAAGCATTCAGCACCACTAGACAGGCCTTATGAGAAATGTTAGAGAGACTTCTTTAAGCTGCTAATTAGTTACAGGAAAACATATGAAAGTACAAATCTCATAGATAAAGATAAATATAGAGTTAAATTCAGAATAATCTAATGTAATAGTGTGGTTAATCACTTATAGATCTAGTTATGTGGGTTAAAAGACAAAATTACTAAGGGATTGTAAGCTGACAAGGTCCTTGCAATATGTGAGGTCAACCAAGGGTTGCCTCATCCAAAAAAAGTAAAAAATAAAAAATACATAAAAGACAAAATTACTAAAAATAATTATAACTATAAAAATTTGTTAATGGATGCACAAGATATAAATTGTGACCTAAAAAACATAAAATGTTGGTGGAGAAGAGTAAAAATGTAGAGTTTTAGAATGCTTTAAAACTTAATTAGCAACTTAAAAGTTATAAATATGGAATGTTTTATGTAAGTACATATCTACCAATAATTACTTTAACTGTAAATGGACTACATTCTCCAATCAGAAGACACAGGGTGGCTCAATGGATAATAAAACATAACCCATCTACATGCTGCCTACAAGATACTCATTCTGGATACAGGACACATACAGACAAAACTGTAAGAAGAGAGAAGAAGGTCATTAAATAATTATAAATGGGACATTCCAACAAGAGGATATAATATTTGTAAATATTTATGTACCCAACATAGGAGCATCTAAATAAATAAAGCAAATATTAATAGATGTAAAGAGTAAACAAACCGTAATACAATAATAGTAAGGGACTTTTATACCTCACTTTGATCAATGGATAGATAATCCATACAGAAAGTCAATAAACACTGGACTTAAACAAAAAGTTGACCAAACTGACTTAGCGCACATTTACAAATCATTCTTTCCGAAAGCCAAATACACATTCTTCTCAAGCACACATGGAACATGCTCTAGGATAGATCATATATTGGGCTACAAAACAAGTCTAGGTAAATTTAAGAAGATCAAAATTATATGAAGCATTTTTTTGGACCACAATGGTATGAAACTAAAAATCAATTACGAAAAGAAAACCGAAAAATTCACAAATATATGAAGATTAAGTAATATGCTACTGAACGACCAATGGGGTCAAAAGAAGAAACCAAAAGAGAAACCAAGTATCTTGAGACAAATGAAAATGAAAATACAATATATCCAAAATATGGGATGCAGCAAAAGCAGTTCTAAGAAGGATGTCCATAGTGATAAATGGGAACATTAAGAATTGAGATCTCAAATAACATAAGGAGTTAGAATAGAAGAACAAACTAAATCTAAAGTTAGTTGAAGGAAGGAAACAAAGATTGAAGTGGAAGTAAATGAAAGAGAGACTAAAAAGACAATAGAAAAGATAAACAAAATTGATAATCCTTTAGCTAAGATTCATCAAGGAAAAAAAAGGATTCAAATAAATAAAAACGGAAATGAAAGGAAACATTACAACTGATACCACAGAAATACAAAGAATCATAAGTGACTATTATGAACAATTATGTACCAACAAATTGGACAGCCTAGGAGAAATGGATACAGTCCTAGAAACGTACAACCTCAGACTGAAGAATCATGAATAGAAAATCTGAACAGACTGACTGAATCAGTAAGATTGAATCAATAATCAAAAAGCTCCCAATATCCAAAATATATAAAGAACTCATATAACTCAATAGCCAAAAAAAAAAAAAAACCCAAAAAAACAAACAAAAAAAACCCTAATCTGATTAAAAAATGGGCAGAGGATCGGAATAAACATTTTTCTAAAGAAGACATACAGATGGACAACAGGTATATGAAAAGATGCTCAATATCACTACTTATCAGGTAAATGTAAACCAAAACCACAAGGAGATACCACATCACATCTGTGAGGATGGCTATTACCAAAAAGACAAAAAAGTAACAAATGCTGTCAGGGATGTGCAGAAAATGGAACCCTGGTGAGAATGTAAAATGTATTACTGGTGAGAATGTAAATTGGTGCAGCCACTACAGAAAATAATATAGAGGTTCCTCAAAATATTAAAAATAGAACTACCATATCATCCAGCAATCCCACTTCTGGGTATTTATCTGAAGGAAACGAAATAACTATCTAGAAAAGATATCTGCACCCTCATGTTCATTGCAGCATTATTTATAATAATTGAGATATGGAAATGACAAAGTGTCAATCAATAGATGAATGGATAAAGAAGATATGAGATATAAATACACACATACATATACGATCTCACTTATATATGGAATCTTAAAAACTAAACCAAAAAACTCTCATAGATACAGAAAACTGATTGGAGATGGCAAGAAGTAGGGATGATGGGCGAGTAAAATGGATGAAGGTGGTCAAAAGGTACAACCTTCTAGTTAATAAGATAAATATGTCCTGAGGATGTAATATACGACATGGTGACTATAGTTAATAATACGGTATTGTACATTTGAAAGTTGCTAAGAGTAGATCTTAAAATTCTCACAATAGAAAAACAAATTGGTAACTATATGTGGTGATGAATGTTAACTAAACAATGCGGTAATCAGTCTGCAATACATACATTGAATTATTATGTTGTACTAAAACTAATCCAATGTTACATGTCAATTATATCTCAATTTTAAAAATTCCATCAAAATAAGTAAAAATCATTAGAGGATATACCAATGATTCTATAAAGAAGTTGAGATTGTCATGAGGCAAGTAAACCAACAGGCAAAGAAGGGGGCCACTGTACTAGCTGGAGTGACTGAATTTGACTATTAAGGAGAAATCGGGTTCCTATGGCACAAAGTGGGTAAGAAGGACAATGTCTGGAGTGCAGATTTTTTTGAGGTACCTTTTAGAACTCCTGTGTTCTGTAATAAATTTTATAATTGTTTTGCTCTTGATTAAATTTAAAAATTTACAGGATTCTGTTGCTCAGGAGAAACTAACTGCAAACATAGGGCTAGAAGTCTGACAAGAAAACAAGGGTATATATTTCTTAAGAATAGTGATGTTTATTTTTATGTCATATATTCTTTTGCATGTATGAGTAAAAACTAGGATGAATACAAAGATGTGGATGCCATCAGCTGCACTGATGTTTTAAGCTGTGAAAACGCATGACTCAGTAAAAGAGTTAACTGAAATTTAAATCTCATAAGCAAAAATATAATTTCTGACACACCATATGGTGTTATAATACTGTTTGAACAGTATTATTTAAGAATAAAATGCTTTGCAAATTCAGCAAGTTGAAATTTATGCTACAAGGGGAATTACTAGCTATGTTACTTTGGTAAATTACTTAACATCTCTGAACCTGTTTCCTAATCAGTAAAATGGGTACACGTGCTACTTAGGTGAACCAATTTGGAAATGGGAGCTCAGAATACTAAGTCATTTTTCTCCTCCTTACCCAGGATTTCTCAATTTCAGCAGCACCGACATTTCAAACCAGGTAATTATTTGTTGTGGGGCGCTGTCCCGAGTTCTGTAAAACATTTAGCCATATACTGGTCTCTACCTATATCCTCTATCATCTAGAGAAATGCCAAACACCTCTCGACTGGACATGAGGTTGAAAAGGCTTCAGACGTTACCAGTTGGTTCCTGGGAGGCAAAATCGCCGCAGCTGCGAACCATTGTCCTAACTTCACGGTCATCCAAAAAGATTTGAGAGCGAAATAAAACAATAGCCTCGAAAGAGAATGCAGCCTCTTGGAGGCTGAATTTGTGACTCAGAAAACTGGAGATAAGGAGCGTCAGCTGCCAGTGCATAGCCAAAGTCCTAATTAATGGATTATTAAGAAATTGACTATTAAGAAGGCAAGAGGCTGAACCTCTGGTCTCTGAGACTCAGAGGTCCACACCAGTCACCACTTAATAGGGCTTAGGGGACTCCTAAGTAGAATTGTTTCCACCGAACCAACATACCGACGTAGTGCGGAAAGCTGTAAGGAGCGAGGGCAGGACTCCGGCTCCCGGCCGCTGCGGGGTGAGGCTCCCAGGACGTCCTCGTCCCCGCCCCGGGCGCTTACAG